TGCATATTACGCGCTGGTCGTGAGGGGACAACTGAAGCGCAAGCAGACTGTCGTGGTGTACCATGGATGCAGTGACGTAGGTATGTGACAATATCTACACCATATTATACCTAAAATAACTTGCAAAATAGTTAAAATCTGACAGTAGATCATAGGGAATAACAAGTCTATAGGAGTAACATATAAGATCATTAATAAAATGGCAGGCAGCAATACCTACTCATTTTCTACAGAACAAAATAAGAATATAACCACAAGTACAACAGCCACAATAGTCCACTGCATTTATTAGGAATTATATAGGTACCTATCAGTGGCGAAGGGTGACATAAATATTAGCCAAGGTAGGCCGAAGCAGAAAAATATATAAAATGAAAGTAGATTGATGTGAGAGTATCCGATGGGAATCGGCATGTATGAACCCTTCGCCACTGGTACCTATATTTTTAAGGTTTCGTAGTCTACTACAAATCCTTATAATATCGTCAAGTCTATCTGTCTTTTTAGGGTTTCGTAGTCCACTAGAAACCCTTATCATTTCGTCAAGTCTGTCTGTCTGTATGCCGTGCCCTAAAAAAAACTAAGGGGAGGTTTCTTGAAACAATATCACTCAAATGATTCTGTCTCGAGATATTTGCTTTTAAAAGGGGCGTTTTTGAGACATAATTTGTTCCAGCTGTAACTCTTAAAGTATAAACGCGAAAAATTTAAAAAATATGGAATATAGTTCTCAACTTACGTTACTTACTATGACAATAATCTACCTTACTTACTATGAAAACTATAACGGATACTTTGCGGATGGTAACCATACAGCTGCGAACAAACTAGCAACTAAATTAACTTTGTTACGCTGAAAAACCTGATATTTAAACGTTGACTACGAAACCCTATTTGCGAGAGTGTCTGACACGCTCTTGGCCAGTTTTTTTAATCTGTAACAGAGACCGAACATAGTTATCATTTGGTTTCACCGAACCGTATTCGGTCAAATATTAGGTAAAAAGTTTACTGAGCCGAATATTCAGGTGAATAATTCGATACGAATTAATATCCACTCACACAAAACAACTTGGAGTCGCAAACATCGCGTATTAGCACTGAACCTTTGCGCTCACTCCTATACATTTTCATATTAGATAACGATTATTACAAATGAATAAAAACTGCTTCACTCCTTGTCCTGATATAGCTATTTCAAACTAGACATGTAAAAAAAAACTCGCGCACCGAGGGTTCCGTATTTGAAGGTTATTCTGGTATTTATTTCATATGATACTCCACTTGGTCCGTCCGTCCGTCTGTCTGTCATTCTGCCAAAACCCTAAAACCCTTTATCTCAGGAACACGTAAAGATATCGAGTTGAAATTAAAACCGTATACTCAAGTCCATGGACGCTAGTAGTTGTGAAAAAATCAAGCACCTAACTTCAAGCCGTTTATGCAGTAAAACGCGTGTTTTTACCCTCTCAAGGGAATCAAAATTCAGACGGTACTTCCCGTAGACCTAGAACAATGAAATTTGGCAAGTAGCTTCGTTTTGAAGTACACATTAAGGAAAAACTAAACAATTTTTTTTTTATAAATTTATTGTTTTTATGGGGCCGAAAAAAAAACAAAATATAAGAAGTTTGTCCAAGTGGAGTATCAAATGACATAAAGGTTTGTCAACCAGAATAACCTACAAATCTTAGTTCGAAACCCTCGGTGGGCGAGTCCAACTCGCACTTGGCCGGTTTTTTTTCTCACCACATTTTTTTTCATGCTTCAGGTCTAGCAGCAATCGCACTTGCCACCCACATGGATTGTCTAGTCTTCACGACGTTTGGCATCAGGGACCAGAAGTGGTATATTCCTTCCAGGTTTATGGAAGTGCCTGACAAAAATATTAAACAACACTGGGATCCCACTTTTGAGAGAATGGTAAATTATGATAGCACATTTTCTCAACCGATACTTGTCCACTGTCAGTGTCAGTAATGCCTGATTTCAGCGTTTTCCTACAAACTTACCTATTTTCCTGCTTTCTTTTTGAATAATGTGAACGTCAAATCAAATAAAATTAGATGGTGTGCTAGCAAGCCAAACCAAAAACGGTAAAAGTCGGAAGTACCAACCATAGTACCAACTTTCCTTTACAGGGTAGCTAGATATGCTAATAAGGATGTTAGAAAACTCGGATGGACATCTCAGAGTAGTAGCTTTTAGGAATGTTGGCTATTCAAAGATGGCGGCTGTATGGCAACATACAGTAAAACTCGAGGGTACACATTTTCCTTTTCATGGCAGTTATATTATATCCCACCCAAAACATAAATGTGAAAGGCTGCCAAGTTCGACAATATTGGAATGCTTCGCCTATAAAAGAAGTGAGATCTAAATAAGTACCAAGTTCCATACACAGACCTCAGTTAAAACTGAAACCTACTTTTTAATGATATAACTTGGCAAGTTTTAATAGAAAATTATATACTTGACTCATTGCGTTTTGTAGGTTTATAAATAAGAAAGTGTGTGAAAACTTGCCAAGTTATATCATTAAAAAGTAGGTTTCAGTTTTAACTGAGGTCTGTGTATGGAACTTGGTACTTATTTAGATCTCACTTCTTTTATAGGCGAAGCATTCCAATATTGTCGAACTTGGCAGCCTTTCACATTTATGTTTTGGGTGGGATTTCATTTATTTTTGTAAGGTTTTCGGTCGGTTGCAATTTTAGGTCGGTACGACCATTGGAAGATATAGATAATTTTTTTGTATTAGTTCCTTAGGGGTATGAATTTACACCTTCATTATTTTTAAAACCGACTCACACTTGGCCATTTTCAGATTTTTTCCTTTACCTTGACCTAAAGACCTACCTCCATGCCAAATTTCAAGTCAATACAACCACTGGAAGTGGTCTAGGTTTTTGATGAGTGAGTCAGTCAGTCAGTCAGTGAGTGTATAGTAAAAATAGCTATTTTCTGACGTCAATATCTCAAGACCTACAATAGGTACATTAATGAAATTTTGTATTTTAGATGAGTAAGTAGATCTCAACAGATACTAGAAATTTCATATGCGTAGATAAAATAGATTTTGAGTTATAGGTGGGTCGAACTTGGCCCGAAATGGTTCGTGTAATATAACCCACGGCCGGTGTGTCGCTCGAACTTGGCGGACACACTGCCGTGTGTCTAGATACTTATGAGGATGTAAAAAAACATAACGGCCATCTCTAAGTAGTAGCTGCCAAAAATGGCAGCCAATCAAAGATGGCGTTTGTGGAGTTTCTAAAATCGAGCATATCTCAAATATCACTAAACCGATTTCATCTCATTTTTAGGGTTTCGTAGTCTACTAGAAACCCTTATAGTTTCGTCAAGTCTGTCTGTCTGTCTGTCTGTATGCCGCGCCCTCATAACTCCGTCAGTTTTAGAGCTATCGCCATCAAATTTGGTGTGAAGATAGATCGTGTTGACCCAAATTTAGAAATGTAGACAAAAAATATTTTAAATGTTTTTCGGACCCCCTCCCATACAAGTGAAAGAGGGGCAAAAGAAATTTCTTTTCTCCTGTAATATTGAGTGGGATATCGCTGAATAGGTCTTTTAAAACTAACGGGAAGTTTCATTAAAACTAAGTCACTAAAATGTTTCTGTCTCGAGGTATTTGCTTTTAAAAGGGGCGTTTTTGAGCCGTAATTTGTTCCAGCTGTAACTCTTAAAGTAGGTATAAATGCTAAACATTTGAAAAATATATGGAATATACTTCTCAATCTGAAGTTACCATGAAAACTATAACGGATACTGTACCACGAAAGATTTTTGAAAAATAAAAGTTTTTCTATTTGCGGTTGGTAATCATACAGCTGCAAACAAACCAGCAACAAAATTAACTTTTTAAAGCTGTATAACCTGATATTTAAACGTTGACTACGAAACCCTATTTGTGGGCGCGTCTGGCCGGTTTTTTTTAAACACTAGCTCTTGATTTGTGCCTTATATGTTGGAAACAAAAAATAATACGAACATCTTGATTTTTTAATTTCGTTACCACTCTTTTCATCTCAATATTTGTGCATTAAATAAAAAGTTATTGCCATCAGAATAAAGTACATCAAATTACCTTTATTTTGATGTATAAAATGTTTGCGTTGGACATCTGCAAACGCAAGAGATTTTTTATTGTGTTTTTGTTTGTTTGTATGTAATCGATAAACTCCAAAACTACTGGAACGATTTTCAAAATTCTTTCATCATTAGGAAGTAACATAAGCTACTTTTTATTACGGGGAAGTTCCTCATTCCCACGGGAAAACGTTTAGAAGCAGGAAAAGCGGGAAATATAGCGGATATTTCCCAAATTAGCCAAACTGGTTTACCAATCTTCGTGAAATTTGGCACTGATATTGCTAGAATATTAAAGACGGACATGGACTAATTTTTGTCAGCTCTTGAGGATCTGGAGTACCTGATGGAAGGCTAATACTTTTGATAGTAACATTTATTTAATTTTCATATGTATCAATACTATTGCACTTAAATATTATTGTACTATCATCGGCAAAAAGAATTGTGGGGTGTTGGCTGTATTTATGTAAATGAGGAATAAAAGTGGGCCGAATATGCCTTGTAGGACTCCGCATTTAATCAATCTAATATCTTATCTGTATTTTTTCCCCTGTCCAGCAGTTTTTCTGATTGGAATTCATCAATCGGTGCATCGATTGTTCAGTGGCAGAGCGGAGGGGCATTAACCATGCGGCCCGTGTTCGTTTCCCGGTCTATGCATGACATTTTTTCTATGTCTTATTTTCATTTATGAGAATAATAGGGCACTGTGAGTGCATTAAAATTCCAATAGATTGATTAAGCAAGCGTCATAATATGGTTTGAATTCCACTCATAATGTGGACTAACCAGGCAGTAAACTTGTAACTTTCTACAGATGTCGCTGGATCGTTGCTTGGAGAGGAGACGAGATCAAGAGATAGAAAATTTGGCTTTCATCAACCGGTGCATCGATAGTTCAATAGCAGAGCGGTGGGGCGTTTACCCATGCGGCCCGGGTTCGATCCCCGGTCGATGCATGACATTTTTAGGGTTTCGTAGTCTACTAGAAATTTCTTATTTTCATTTATGATATTATCCAAATTAGCCGAACTGCTTTACCGGTCTTCGCGAACTTGGACACTGATAACTATTACTAGCATATCGGAGACGGACATGGACTTGTTTTTATCAGCACTTGAGGATCTGGAGTACCTGATTAAGACCATCAGCATCCCATCTAAACTATAAGAGATACAGTAATGACTTCATAAAAAAGCGGCCAAGAGCGTGTCAGACACGCTCACAAATAAGGTTTCGTAGTCAACGTTTAAATATCAGGTCTTTCAGCATTACAAAGTTAATTTTGTTGCTGGTTTGTTTGCAGCTGTATCGTTACAAACCGCAAATTGAAAAACTTTAATATTTCTTTAATCTGTAATGGTACAGTATCCGTTATAGTTTTCATGGTAACTTCATATTACGAACTATATTCCATATTTTTTTTAAATTTTTTGCATGCGTGCTTTAGAAGTTACAGCTGGAACAAATAATGGCTAAAAAAACGCCCCTTTTAAAAGCAAATATCTCAAGACACAAACATTTTAGATACTTTGTTTCAAAGAAACTTCCCCTTAGTTTTAAAAAACTTATCCAACGATACCCTACTCAATATTAAAGGAGAAAAAAAATTTTTTTGCCCCCCTTTCACATGTATGGGAAGGGGGTCCAAAAAACAATTAAAATATTTTTTTTAACATTTCTAAATTTGGGTCAACACGATCTATCTTCACACCTGATTTCGATAGCTTCAAAACTGACAAAGTTATGAGGGCGCGGCATACAGACAGACAGACTTACCGAAATGATAAGGGTTTCTAGTAGACTACGAAACCCTAAAAAGTTGTTCATCATGACGGGCCGCTTCTTCTGGCACATGGTCATCGAGGATCTGGAGTAGGTACCTGATGTAGACCACCAGCAAAATATAAAGTAAAAGTTATTCAGCATGACAGGCCGCTTCTGCTGGCACATGGTCATGATGTGTCACTTCTGCTGAAAAGGAGTAATGGACTTTTTTACTACGGGTAAAGATCCAATATCTACGGGAAAACAGGTAAGTAGCAGCGGGTGAAACCGTATCTTATATTTTTGATTAGAAACTTAGATATTTCGAGCGGTTGGGTGCTCTATATTGACGAGATCACGCGTAAGCCTGGCTCGGCGAGTGTTGTCATCTTTCTCATAATATTAAGTTTTGTACATAACCGCTAAAACCTAAAAACATGCCTATTTATGTTCTACTTGTTTTTGTTCAGGTGTTACAGCGCACGGGGGGCCGCGGTGCGGATGTGATACTGAACCAGCTTGGACACAAAAAGGTGTCAGCCGCCTTCAGCTGCCTGGCTGACCACGGAACTCTCGTGGATATTGGAAGCGATCTGCGCAGGACAGTAAGCAGAAAAACACTTTTAAGTCGTGGCACCTACAAAAAGGCTCATATTTATGCGTTATTTTTTAGTACCCATTTTACGGAATAACGGTCAATCACATTGTACCTACCAATGGGTGTCGTGATAGGTTAATGAGGCGATTTATCCCGTATTTGTTTCACAAGAGTAACGCTTATTAATATAAAAATAATACCTAATCATTTTATTTATTTTTCTCAGGATCTTTCCAATCTCTCAGCTAATAAGTCTTTTGCCTCCGTCGACATGAGCTTGATCACAGAAGATGAAAAGATCCAAGTGGCTGGACTTCTGACCGAAGGCATTAAGCAGGGGCACGTTAACTGTATGTTATACGCTTGCTTTTCTTCCAAAATGGAGGATATCAGACGAGCTATTAAGTAAGTATTCATAATCTCAGGCGTTGATTAATTCCTACCACTAAATTATAACAGATATAATACTATCCTTCACGAGCTATGACTGCTGACCTAGAACTGGTGGGGTGAACCCTTAACGGTCGTGTATATTAAAAAGAAGTAGTGCGTACTTTTGACATTTGTTTTATATGATACTCAACCTTTACTCAACTAAATAAAATACGTTTCCTTGGAAAAAACTTTTTTCAGTTTAGCTGAGCGCCATCTATGTACACCCACTAAGGCATGTCAAAGTTATGCGCACGTTCTTTGATTCTAAAGTTGTTTAAAGAAAAAATCCATTCACACATACAAAGAAGCGCGTAGTAAACCAAGTGTAGCAAGAAATTTTTGATGTGATAACTAACCAAACACATTCTAATAATGACCAAAATTTCGCACTCAGTGTTAAATGTTCGAGTGGCGCATTAGTTAAGATAGGGCCTAGAAGTCACGGATGTTATAGTTCGTAATTTTTATTTACGATAAAAATTCTTAAAGCAAAAAAGTTCAAATTAAAAACCGGCCAAAAGCGTGTCAGACATGCCTACAAATAGGGTTTCATAGTCAACGTTTAAATATCAGGTTATTCAGCGTTACAAAGTTAATTTTGTTGCTGGTTTGTTTGCAGCTGTATGATTACCAACGCAAATAGAAAAACTTTTATTTTCCTGAAACTGTACCTTACAGTATCCGTTATAGTTTTCATGGTAACTTCAAATTGAGAAGCATATTCCGTATTTTTTTTCAAAATTTTATCGTTATACTTTAGGAGTTACAGCTGGAACAAATTATGGCTAAAAACGCCCCTTTTGAAAGCAAATATCTCGAGACAGAAACATTTTAGTGACTTTGTTTCTAAGAAATCTCCCCTTAGTTTTAAAAGACCTATCCAACGATACCCTACTCAATATTACAGAAGAAAAAAAATTTTTTTGCCCCCTTTCACTTGTATAGGAGGGGGTCCAAAAAACTTTTAAAATATTTTTTCTCAACATTTCTAAATTTGGGTCAACACGATCTATCATCACACCAAATTTGATGTCGATAGCTCCAAAACTGACGAAGTTATGAGGGCGCGGCATACAGACAGACAGACAGACTTGACGAAATGATAAAGTTTTCTAGTAGACTACGAAACCCTAAAAACTAGCCAAGTCTCGATGGAGCTGCTTGTTTATCTCTAAAAAGTAATGAAATCTATGCAAAGTCAAGCCAAGTCTAAGGTAAGGTTCTTTTTTCAATTTGTCTTATGACCCGTTGATATTTTTACAACTTATTGTGTGTTTCAGGAGGTACTATTTAGGTACTATTTATTGGTGTAGGTTTCTGAATTATAGTTGTAGCGATTAAGAACATATAACAGTACACCGGCTATCCTGACGTCAGAACCGCCGGTGTACCAGAATTTTAATATTACGGCTGAAGGATTGAGGTATTAATTTTTATTTTATAGGTACTATTTGGTACTAATTAGGTACTATTTTTCAGTATAGGTCTCATTCAAATCTGTATAGGTACACCGGCTATACTGACGCTCACCATGACGGTCCCCTTCCCACTTGGTGGTAAACTTAAGTGAGAGAGGGAGCACCATACAACTTTCATACGGTGGCGACTGCAGATGGGGTGATGATATTCTAAGCCGATACCACACGGCAATTATCGAGTAGCATATTAGCGAGTAGCTTAATATTTTTTGGCACTAGCTTGCTGTTTTAACTTGTTATTGTATTTGGCCTCAGTCCTGAAATTTCCTTGTTATTTCAGAAGGTTAAACCGAGACGACAACATGGGCAAAGTGATCGTACGCATGCAGCTGGAAGACCAAACTATACAGGAATAGTAATTGATGAGGAAGGAAATACTTGCGTTTTCACTTGTTTGTATTGATAATTAATAAAATATGTAACCACTGTAGCTGTGTGTAATTTATTTAACTGCAGTAGAGATAAGTCTTCCTTCGGTGCGCGTGCTGCGTAGGTATACTGGTTGCGCAGTGCAAGATGTAGATATGAGCCATAGATACCCCGTTACCTGGAGTCATCCTTTAGTCGCCTTTTTAGTCGTCATACGGGGTAACTGGGCGCACTTTTGTCTTTAAGCCCCCGTAGCAAAAAAAGTATGAGTGGTAGGAGCGCAAACTTAAGTGTTTTGGGTAGGGCATTTATCTGGCTATAATAATTAGTACACAAGATGACAGTAGGTTCATTATTCTGCTATAATGCATTTTAAGGAATAAATCGGAATGCACTCACATGACCCCAATAGCGGGTAAGTGACCGCAGCCCTGTGGGGTAAGTTTGCACTATGGGAACGAGTAGGATGGTCGATAAAAGAATTTATTAAAAATATAATTCCGAGGTACAACGGTGATAATAAAATTAAAATAAAGTGATATTTTTGAAACTACGCATATTAATAATAACGTTTAATACAGCTTTGTTCGACAAAACGTGCGCTCACTTACCCGCGCACACTTATGTCCATCAGAATGACTGGCCAAAGTAATAAATAGACATTTAAATATTGTCATCATTTAGTACCTATTTAGTACTATTTGGTACCTATGCTTAAATATTTACTTCCTAATTAATAAAAAAGATATTGAATTAATTAAGTGGTCAGTCATTCTGATGTCTGATTGACTGGCCACATTTATAATTTGCTTGACGTTCTTGGTGATTCTAATTCGTATCTACGTGCTCCTAGTGAATGTTACAATCTCATCAAAAAAGAAAACGACCAAATCAATATATTCCATATAAACATTCGTAGTATAAATAGTAATTTTAATTCACTTTTAGTTTTACTAACAGAAATACGAAGTACTGTTGATATCATAATTCTGTCTGAGTGTTGGCTGAGTAAAGTCTACAATTTGCCGACGTTACCTGGATACAAGTCTTTTTCATCAAGATTGCATAAAAAAAAAAATTATGGCGTAGTCATTTACATAACAGCTGCTTTAGAATGTATGATTGAATACCCGGACTTTAGTGACGGTACAGTTTTAGTGTGTAAATTTAAAAAAGACCTCGCTATTGTTGTTATTTATCGTTCCCCATCCTACGCCGATACTGGAAATTTCATATATAACTTAAATATGGTTATTAGTAACCTTTCTCAATTTAAATCTGCAGCTATTCTTGGCGATATTAATATTGACAT